AATGTCTTCCCAATAAAAGATAAACACAAATTCTTATAAGAGCAGGAATTCAGTATTAGTCCTGTATTGATAAATTAACTTAAAAGTAGGAGATTCTACATGGTAACACTGCTGACACCATCTGGTTTAGAGGAGAACTGGTTGTTTCAGGAGCTGGTTGGTTGGCTAGGGAGCCATGGTCCCTCTGGACACCCCCTCTAGATCCACCCCTGCTTCCACCTAAACTGTAAGTTGGGCAAGGAGAGGACTAATGAAAGAAGCAGCCTAGAGAACCATGGTGAATATGGAGGAGTTTCAGCCATTCATACTTCAGTCTGAGGTATCTGTTGACTGGGATCTCTCTTAGTAGTGCAATATCCATATATGACCTTAAGAAAAGTGGCAAGAGTAAAACAGTTGATTTCTCCTGTCTATTTGGTTCATATCATTAAAAGAAAGTCAAAAGAGGCCCCATTCAAAGGTTGCAACAAGTTATGTTGGGATCACTGTAAAAAGAGCTGAAGGGAGTTTGACTAAATGGGACTTGTTTTCGTCTTCATACAAATCCATATTTGTGAAAGAAACCCTGAGTCCCTATAGTGGTTTGGTGAAGGCATCATCATGCTGTGGGGTATGTTTTCATTGGCTGAGAGAAACATATTGGACACAATTAAAGGGGATATAAAGATAAAGAAATCTAAAGACAAACCTAACCCTTCAGCTAGAGGTATTTAAATCAAATTTAGAATGAGTGGGAGAACTTGAAAACTGATGGCCGAAAATGTCTAGATTTGGAAAGGTCTATTAGGCACCGACTGAGTGGAGCTGAACAGAAATGTGCAAACCAGGTTTTTAGATTTTTATTTCTACATGGCTTTGAAAACCAAGTACCCCCCCCTCTACACACACACACACACACACACACATTAAAGAGCCTCACTGTTGCATTTCATAGGACATTCCAACTAGAATAAATGTGTATTTTATGTCAGATCTATTCCCATTTTTATTCTCTCCTGAATGTCAGATTTCATGATGAAAAATAGAGAGAAGACAATGCTTATCGAGACAGATCTTTTACAATGAGGACAGCAGAAATATATAATATTATAAAGATAAATTATAAAGACTCAAACAATTGCAACTAGAAACGCCAGGCGGATATTTGTCCAACAAATGCAATCCACACATACACCAGGAGGCAGAGGGGACGCTGAAGATGGGGAGGGGAGAAAAAAAAATGACATCCATTAACTGGATCTGGTTGCCATGACTACAGATGTACAGCTGAGAACACAGACACTTATGCGCGCTCGTGCATGCACGCGCGCACGCGCACTGGAAATTTTCATGCAAACGGCGGAGCAGCGTACCAAAGGTGCTGATTTGATGGTGGTGATGTGTTCACAGATCTGGCAGTCAAGAGACCGACTCTAGTTAGATGTAGGCCGCAGCTCTGGCCTGGCGTCCCTGTGCACGGCCTCATCCCTCACGCAAGCATGGTCCTGCAGGGGGGGAGGAAAAGGAGGAGATAGTGGGGCTGGGTGCTTCCCAGGCCCTCCGCGCTCGTTGTTCCCGCTGGAGCCGCTGTCAGTGCCGAATCTCCCCGAAAGCAGCACGCATCCAGCGTTAAATGCATCCTTTCCCCTGCTTGCTCCCCGGCTACTGCGCGCAAGTCCTTCCTATGAGAGAAAAGGGCATTGCCAAACCAATTGCAGGCAACACCAAAAGGGGCAGCCTCTGGATGTAGTCGTTCTCTCTGGCGTCCCTCCTCTTGTAAAATTAGAGGAATCAAACGGCTACGCTGGATGAGAGCGAATTATGCAATGCCTACCTTTGATAATCAGAAAGATACCTCCGAGATGTATCTTCCTGACACTCTTCTTTTCCGTTTCAAAATGCAGGAGATATTTGGGAGGAAAGATGGTTTCCCTGTCTTCCTGTGATCGAATGTGGTACCATGTTGAAACACTCTTGATTCAGATAAGGCACATCCAAACATGATTTTTCCACAAATGTGGTGTTCAATGTTCCCCTTGTATTCCACACGAATTTCTGCCCTACATTTACAGCGCACTTGGTCATGGTAGGTGGTTCTGGTGCCTTCTATTCATCTCTTTCCTCTGTCCCTTTCCTTACACTCCCCCTTCCTTTAAAGAGACACAACACTAGAGGCACATCTCAACAAGGCTGAGGTAATTTCTAAAGGGATGCAATCTTTTTCTTTTTTTCTTTTTTACTATCATCATCATGTCAGCCATCTGTAATATAAGAATAACACCCACTGTAAGGGATCTGCAGTATACAACATTTATTACACATTATATGATGTAACATCTTTTCCTTCTTTTTCTTTGAGGCAGAATTGAAATCTATGTATCCCCAACTATTGTTTAAATAGGTTTATTATTTCAGACGAAACAGTTGTATCATACATATTTTTAAAATGATGGTCCATGATTAAACACAAATATGATCATTTATTGCTTAAATGTTTGCCTCATTGCACAAATGAATAAGCAAATCATACATATGATGTGTGTCACAAGCAGAGCAGTGGGATCTAGAACTGTTGCTCTTTTGAATTCCTTTAACCATTGGCTGTGCTGCATATCCAACAATATTTGCACAATGGAAAAAGTGATCATTTATTATGGCGTTGTGTTTTTAATACTCATAGTATTCCGTTTTTGTTTATTTGCCAAAAGGAGGTTGCTATTTACTTTAGCTACAGTGACTTTATCTCTTTAATCAGTGCCATTATTTAAATAAAAAAGAACCATTTTGTCAACCTGCATTACTGTACAATAATTGGTCATATTTTATGACCACCAAACATTGTGTTATTGCAATTTTTGCAAGCAAAGTGCCTGTTTCCAGATGTTGAACTTTCACTTTTTAATTTGCATAACCTATATAGAGGGATCAAAAAAATGTTTTCCAGAAAAATCCCAAAAATGCTGCACTGATTAGGATCCGCAGAAGCTGGTGGTCTCCTTGACTTTTTTTGTCTTATAGCAGGGTGTAATATCTGAATAAAGGGAACCGCCTGTGCTGCCATGGAAAAAACTGCAATGCTTCGTGTATTCTTTTTATTAGACCTAGCATTGTTAACAAGAGGATTGCAGCTGAATCGACTCAAACTAGACATTCAATACTCCTCCTGTTCATCAGTAAGCCTTACAAACCATGATGCATCTGCAAATGTACCACTGTTCTTATACTGATACTCACCACTTCAGATCAGAAACTTAAGATTTGCTGCTCTTATGTTTTGCTTTGGAACCACATATATAACTATGAACCACCTTTTAAATATTAACTGCTTTTACAGACTAATTCAATACCATTTAGAAAAATCACATGCTGCTTAGAATATCCAGTAGCACGTATTGTAATAGAGAAGTAATCAGTTGTGTGCATTGTATGTGGTCCTAATTTTATGACTGATTGGTGTAAATAGGTGCCAACACTAAACCTTATTGATATATTTTGTCATTTGAGGAAGCCATCTAAATGATTAGCATTATAAAACATATCTTGCCTTCTATAACAAAAAAATAAAAAGTTTTCACACCTCCATAGAAGAAAAGTACATCTTGGAAGACACCTAATTCATAGAAAGCAGATTACTTCCTGGAAAATTCTTAACCTCATTCTAGAAAATGTGTCAAATTTCCCAGGAAAGCATCAAAGGTATATGTTGTAATTTCTATGTAAATTTATCTAACACATAAAAAAAAGCACCTGCTAACACTATCTGTAAGATCTGCAAAAAAAATAAAAAAACAACTGAAACATTAACCTCAAGAAAGAATGAAATAAATTTTACATTTACCCATGAAAATTCAAAAGCTTTACTTTCTACAGAAGCTGAGGTGAAGCAGAGATTGATGGGGGTGCACCTGACCTGTTGTATTATACATTTTATGATAAAATTAGTGATTGGCAGATTAAAATACATTTGTTTTTTTATTAGTTAAGTCTTCTGTTTCTAATAGAGTTTGAGACAGAATATATTTAGCGAATAACATTTTTAACAGTCAGTGAAGGGAATAATTTTATTGCTTTTTAACATTTATGATGTAATATTCATCTTTACCACTAGATGTCCGTGTTCACTTAAATGATGCAGCCAGGATTAAAATTTCTCCCCTTTTCCCATCTTTGAGAGCGTCATAAAGGTACACGTTATAGTTCAATTCAAAGCTAAACTGCTTTAATATTTCTGAAAATTTTATAGCACATTTACTGAGTGTGATAAAGAAATATATTTTATTCTCTTTTTAAAGGATTGATTTGGATTGATTACAACTGATATTTGTTTTAAAAGAAAGATTACTTTGTTCATATGCTGCGGTTGTTTTCTTCTAGCCATGCACAAACGAAAAAAAAACTTATAATAAATTTAATTTAAAGATAATACTTTCATTTTGGTGTTCTGTATCATTCTTAATCATTCCATTACATCTAAAAATAAAAAATAAAAAAAAGCTTCCTTTTTGGTGAGTTTAAATCAAACCATCTTGCCAAGTTGCCTGAAGTCATAGAATCCCATTCTGAATAGTGAAGATAAAGTGAGTTTATGTTGTGAAATTATGTTCATCTGCATTATGAGCTTTCTGTTTCTGTTTCTGTTTAAGACAGAAATTATATTTCCCTAAGAGTGCCCTCAAGTGGCTGGATAATATTTAGTAGAATATTTAGCAACAGTGGGATACAATGTCTAACTATCAATAATTTTGTTAATCTAATGTTGGATAGGATTTATGTACTAAAATAGTCATTTCAGGGCTGAATAAAAGCTCAGATCAACCTTTAACAGCCTTATCATTCTTTGAAAGGAGCAAATTAATAATCTTAAATAAGCCTACAGAGAGAAACATAGAAATTGATCAGACATTTAGAAAAGGTACTGCAAAGAACAATTAAACCATACTTATCAAAAATGTGTTATTCATTATTCGTTATTCCGATGTTAAAAGCCTATTTAAATTGTATATTATATAATTTTAGGGTAGCATTATGTGGATTATTATTCACATCAAATGTTTGAAAACTTTTGTGCTTTAAAGAAAAAGTTTTGGGAAGTGATCATCTGATTTTAAATATCTAAAAAGGATCTAGAGAAGCTGAGAAGTTACAGCTTTGCAAGTCAGGAAAATGTAGTAAATTATGATAAAAGATCCACCAGTAAAGTTCCTCATCTCTTTAGGCTGCATCACACAGATGGGTCTGTTGCACACTTCTCCCCCTCTTCTGTCTGTTTGATCTGAACTGGGACAACAATCTCGTTGCTCGGGTTGTTGAGAGGTGTGCCAGAGACAGGAGTCTCCACATATAGGACTCCATCAGACAGCGCTGAACTGATGTGCTGCAAATCTGCCCCCTGTGGCAACCTTTAATGAAGATAAATAGATACATAACACAGTAAGCAAATATATCAAATGTTTTTTAAGGTTAAGCTGTTAAAGTAATCTTCATCTAAGAATATATCGATATACAGACAGAAAGTCATTGTATCAATGCTGCAGAATCTACCTCTTTCACTCTGTGGGTTGCTTACTCCCTTGTTCTCAAAATTACAAAAGTTATGTAGTACGGTCTGATTTTTTATAGTGGTTTAATTTTTTTCAGACAACTTACTTGTATTTACGACTGAAGCACCTTTTAACCACTCCATGCTCATCCTGCCTTTCTTCATGAGTTCCTTGACAACACACATTTTTTTGATAGAATGTTAGCACACAAAATCCTCAAAAATACAAAATATTTTGTTGCATATTTGCTCCATTTCCACATACTTGTAACTGTAAATCCACTAAGAACAAGGTGCCTTACCTGATATCTGTAAGTACCCATCCTTGGTTGTGATCATTATCTCTTCTGGTAAGAAGCGATGGACATCTAGAGAAATTTTCCAGCTATTCTGATCAGTTTGCATCTCTGACACACCAGTTGTTAGTTGTGTCGATTTCTTTTTGTCCTGCTCATCGCGAGGCTGGCTGATAAACGGAGGCAGAAGTGGGGACTGTGTGAATCCCGGCCAAGAGACGGATGCTAGCCTCTTTTTTGCCCAGTCAAGCCAGTCGAGGTCACTGGGCTCCAGGAAAGGAGGGAGCCCGAAATCTTGAGCAAAGATACGGCTTGGCTGGGTCCAGTTCGGGAAAGATTCCCAGGCCACATCTCTGCGGAAGATGGGGCGGGATAAAAGTTTGTTTTGCTCATCCATGTCCTTAAAAATAAGCTCAGGGACGAAGAACAGGGGTGTTTGAAGTGAAACTCCTTTTGCTCCCCGATGAGACCAACAAGTGTAGGAACTGAATCACTGAACCACAGAGCAGCTGTAGGTTATTGCTCACATGTAACAACAAGTGAGGAGGAGGTCCGAGGAAGAAACTACTCTGCAGTGCTGGGTACACACACTTTATATATGCGGCTGATTAAATGTATCACTTGCACAGTAGAAGATGTGATGTAAGACATGAGAATGGCTTGATATACGATGAGTAAGTGATGGCCCTCTGTTGCCCCGGGACATAGAGAGGACAATGCTAATCATTCGTATTTATAACTCTTGACTCTTACTGTTATGACTCTGGAAGCAGCAAGCAGCCTGTTTATTCAGCTCTGGCCTCTGCAGTCTTGTCACATACTGGTGCTCTTTGTCCACAGAAACCACTGCAGTCTGTTATGTGAGGGAACAGCAGCTCATTTAAAGTCACACAGTTAACAAGGGAGTTACTTCCAGTCACCACACTTAAGACTGAAATAAAAGGGCAAAACAAAATGATCTCATTGTAAATAGGTAAGAAGAAGGAAACGCAAACACAGGCACAAGATGTGTTTACAGCTCAGACAATGTGATGGATGGAGGGAATGGTGAATTCAGGTATCGGTGAGGAATTTCACAGCTGCATCTTTGTTGATGACGAGTTGTTTAAGTAATGAAGCAACTATCTGCTGGTTATATCATGCCTTTGGAGAGGGAGGTTTTCTCAGTTATGTTCAAATATAAAATCAGATAAAATGTGAGTATTTATCTGCTAAACAAATTCAGTAAAGCAACATGCAGAATTTTAGATTTATTATATTGTTTAATATATATAGGTTTGTGTCCTGTTGTTTGTTTAAGACAAAACACTGCAGTACGAGCTATCTTTTTGAATGCATAAGTTATTTAATATTTATGTTTGTGAACTATACAGAACGCAGGACTTTAACAGTTAAAAGTTATTTTTCAAGTTTAGGGAAGTGTTTTGTTTCCTGGCACAAATAGCAACTCATGCTGTTAGGTGATTGAGGGAAAAGGCCTTATCTTTCCACTATACACATCTCTTTTGGTGTTTTGTGTTTTTTTGGCTCTAGTTAAATAGTCAGATTACCGTTTTTTTTTTTTTTTTAAACCCACAAAGCTAAAACATGATATAGAGACAGCTTTAGATATTGTCAGAGCTGCTAACATCGGGGGAAATTAAAGCAAAGACAGCCCAAAAATTCTATTTAAATAATTCAGTCAGATGTATGAAAGGTTTGTTATAAAGGATCACATCATCAGTGTACAATATCTTTCCTCTAATAATCTATGTTGAAAAAGTTTTGTTTCAACATATGAACGATGACCAGCCCCTTTGCTGTCTCCCACGGATGCTTCTACGTGTGTTCAAGAGATGTTTTCATGACATCCCTATAAATGCAAGCTGCGGAAGAACCACAGTGCTGGTATTATTGGATCCTAATGTAAAAGTTATTATTGATCACTCTTTTTTATTTGAGTTCAGTATTTCTGGTAGAGGACTGGACTACTTTAAATCCTTCTTGAAGGTTAACGACTTATTTGTGCAGTGGGAAATTTTACATCAGAAGCCACTAAAATTACATATGGCGTTCCCCAAGGGTCGATCTTAGGGCCCCGTGCTATCCAAATGCTTCTGCTAACTCATTTACTAATAAGCAAAAACATAAGACACTTTAATCACGCAGATTACACACAGCTATACATTACGATGTCATCAGGTGACTATGACACATTAAAGAATTCAACACAAGTAAATGCCAAAATATTCTTGAGTTGAAACTATTTAAAACTGGAATGGAAGTTTTTGGACCAAAAGAAGAATGTTCAAATGTTTGTGCAATGCTTCACTTATTACAACTGGGAACCATCAATCAGGCTTTCCTGAGGTAGTGATGGACTCATACCTGAAGAGTCGAAGGCACATGATGACAGTAAAAAGTCAGCTTTCCATCAACTACAGAACATCTCCGGGATGAAAGGACGGATGTCTCAGCATACCCTTGAAAAAATAATCAATGCACTCATCTTTATTAAAATGTGTTACTGGAAAGGTGTTTCACAGGTCTGTTTATAAAGTTGTTTAAACAGCTGTAGTTTCTGCCCCCCTCCTCAAAATAACAAAGAGAAGTCATTACACTAGCTCACTGTTTCTCAGAAAATATACCAAATCTCAATCTGAAAAACTCACAAGAAGATAAAAGACAATTAGGAGAAATTTATTGATACAATTACTTTGTCTTTGGCGCTCAGGATACATGGCGTTTAATTTTGATAGATATGCATGAACAGGAGCAAAGAATAGGGCTTCTCCCCCCTCCAGGCCTGAAACTGGTGGTGGAGTGGAGATAGATGAAGTTGGTCAGTCTGTAGATTGCTGATTAGCCAGACAGTATACTGAGCTTTATGTGGAGATCCAGTGGACTGCATGAGCTGATACTAGAGCTTCACTCTGGGACCTGGAAGATGGAAGTCCGGTTGGATAACACAGGTTGAGAGAACCTGTCCATGATGAGCAAGCATGAAGCCACAGTGGAGAGGAAAAACTCCCCGTTAGGAGGAAACCTACAGCAGAACCAGACTCAACAGGGTGGTCTTCTTCCGGAACGGTTAAGATGAGACAGGGAACGCAGTAAGAGTCCAAGAGGAATGACACTCTTATGAAGCTTAAGCTACAATGGTGGAGGAGGGGCTGGAGGTGGGTTGAAACTGTGTCATTTCAATGAAGTCAAACAGCGCATCCACCGACTGCGCCTAGAGCAGACAGTAAAGATCAGAGGCCTTTTAAGATGAACTTTGGATGTCGATTGGTTTTCGTGGAGGTGTGGTTCAAAGCTGATTGGCTGTGTCGGAGGTGGATGTAGGAGAGCAATGAGTTTCTTCAGTTGAACCTTTGCCAAGGCTCCATTACAGAATTGCGGTCAATCTATCAACAGCACACCCAAGTATTATGGCTCATATCTACCACGACGTGTACACACAACGAGAACTAAACATGACCAATCAGCTTTTAGTTCTAACACTGCACTAATCTGGAATAAACTTCTAGAAAATTTTAAAAGCAGTGAAACCCTCAGTTTCATTAAATCGAGATTAAAAAACATATTTGTTTAGAGTGGTCTTTGACGGCGCAATCTAAATATGATTAGTTTTTTCTGAAGCTCCCCTTTAATTTTCCTGTGAATAATTCCATTGTTTTCAAAAATTATATTCTTATTTTTTTCTGCCTTTGTGCCACTGCCATGTTTTTTTGTTAGTTTTTTCTCTTATACTGCACTTTGAATTGTCATGCAACCAAAACAAACAAGTAAACCTGCCTTGCCTTTCCTCGCCCCTACGTAGCCTTGCCTTTCCTCGCCCCTACGTAACCTATATTCATCTCCATGTTTTATGATATAATAAACAACCCCCAAGGCCTAAAAAAGACCAATTGCTTTGCAGGAAAATCCATAGATGATTGCTGTGTGTTGTTTTAATGTGTGGAACCTGTTTTGATGACAAAAAGCAGATTAAACAGACATGAAGCAGCTTTATTGTCAAGGTGCATAGAATATTTCAAGTGTACAAGTTCTACAAGTACTTATACAAATCCAACAATCCAAAGTCCACTCAAATCATTAACACCTCAGTCCACACATTTTGCTAATCATCTAAATGACCAGCTGTATTAACTCTGAGTTCAACACCGAAAAGCTTTACTAAAATAGCTTTATGATCAATAAATGTAATTTTTCTTTTTAAACAAAGCTATTTATACGTAGAGAAAAACATCTACGATACAAAAATACAGACCTTAGTGCAAGACAACAACATTAGCTGTTATCATTCTTTTGCAGGTGTTTTAAAAAAAAAAACAATACACAGGCCTACAATTAAACCTTCCCTTGTATCTGCCTACTGAAAAAATATCAATACCTTTTATAGCTTCTTACCACAAATGCCTTTATCTGATAAAACAAACGTGTTTATCTTTATGACCATCACATTTTCAGTCATAATAAAAATTCATGTCATCCAGGATTTAAGTTAGGAGTCATTGCTTCTTCTATCTTCCTCTGAATCGTCTTGTTTTCTAAAAGAGAAAGTGATACAAAATAAGAATTATGAATTAGACTTAGACAACTTTTATTGACATTTTGACTCTGTGTATACAAAACAAAAGTTTTTTTTAGTACAGCTTTCCAGACAGTAAAAATAAAATTTCCATTCTATACAATGCAGCAGTGATCAAACATAAATAGTGTGGGAGAACAAAAAAAAAACAAAACAAAAAAAAACATGGTGCAATGAACAAGGGAAAAACTACAAATGATTCTGTGGGGTTTTAATTCCCAGTATATTGATGCACTGGGGGTTTTAAGAAAAATTTAAGTGTATTACCTTTTGTGTTTTCTTAACTGAAGAATAATCAGTGTAAGGATTACAACTAATGTCAGGGCTCCAATGACTGAACCGGCCACTATTCCAGCAATGTTACCTGAAACACGACAAAGATTTACAATATTTTACCAGATGGTCTCTCATAGGGCTGAAAAAAATTATATTAAACACAACAAACATTACCCATCTCCACTTATCAACCATAAAGCCTTTTATTTGTTTCCAGTAAGTGTTGAGAAAAAATTATATATGATAACTGTGTCTAAAGATTTTATGCAGAGGAACCATGGACAAAGTTACAGTAAGACAACTGTGGTTCTCACATTTTTGTAAGATTATTAATAATTTGATTCACTCCCACCCTCAATCCAGCTAATATGCAGGTAGGGTGTCCACTGGATATGCTAATATATGTCATTTTAGTCAAACTGAGCTGTTTTCATTTAAAAATCCCATAATAAAGCCCTTCAGCCTATGAAGCACTCTGTGAAAAGTGCTATACAAATGAATTTTACTTACTTGCTTCACACTCAGTATCAAATGAGCCTGAGTAACCCATTCTTTTTTTTTTTTTTTTTTTCAGAAACAAACTGCCTAAAAGTCTGGGATGATATTAGTCAGCTTCAATATGATCCACTTTTACATATGCCAACAACCAATCTACACCAAATTCTATGGGCATTATATCCCCAGCACATCAGGATAACCTGTGTGTTAAAAGGTTCCAGTTGCATGCTTCAGAGGCCTGAATATAGCTGGGGGCTCTATGGCTAGCAGCAGACATTTGATTTGATTGCATTCAGTTTACTTTCAATTCATTCAATGCTTTTTGATTGTTATTTTGATTGCTAATTTGATTTATATTTAACAACATAAAATGTGCTTTACATAAAAACAAACAAAAACCCCAACACAAAAAAACTGCAGTAAGAGTTTAAAATTAATAAATAAATTAAAAGGACTCAGAGGACCACACAACAATGGGCTGTTAAAAGCCAAAAAGTAAAAGTGGGTCTTAAGACAAGACTTAAAACAATCCACTGTAGAGGCTGTTTGTATATGGAGGGGCAAAGTCTGGGGCCAACTACCGTACATAAATTGTCCAGGTCCCTGGTTTTATGCCTAAACTTAGGCACTTCTAGATGAAGATGGCGCTCACACCTCAGAGCATGTGCTGGAGAGTTAATCTGGAGGAGGTTGGTAATATATTGAGAAGTCCCTTGTATTTATATTGTATTTATGTCCCTATATTAAAAAAACGCCTATGTATAGTTAGCAAACAGAATATACTGGAAAGGTCCCAGAGTCAGGAATAAAGATATTAGTCATTTTTCTACGATCAATTGTGTGTGTGAATCCCGCTCTACTGCAATGTGATGTGGCAGCCCACAATTTCAAGAATTGTTAAAACTGTAGAAAAACATTTATTTTAAAAGCGCCACTTAAAAATCCACTTGGCTTAGACCAATAATATCTACATAACCACATTTTCAGACGTCTTTTTAAAACACATGATACCTGTATGGTTATTTGTGTGCAAAAGCATTTCACAAACAGTCTTCAGTCTAGGTAAAAAGGAAGCTCTCCAACAAGTTCTACAATTCAGCAGAAATAAAAACAGTTTTAAGTCAACTTTAATAACCCTAGTTATAGAAAAAATAAAGCTCATATGCCAGTTCTTCTTTAATTGTATTAGTTTGACCTTTTTCTCTAATTAAACAATAAACTTGCATTAAAATATTTTTTGGTAAGTATTGCATGAGGTGGATACCATGAAATAGCATAAGGCTTTTTTTTAAAGACCAAAAATCTTCTGTAGGGGCAAGTAAGCTCTGATACAGATCTAGTCAGGAAATGTAACAAAAATCCTTTGGAGAAATGCAGGAAAGTAGTGATGATTTTTTTCCCCAATATTTTTTCAATCAGTTTCTGATTTAAGGAAATCAATCATGGAGACTGCAGACCTTTCATACAAAGCAAACATATTGATTGGAAAAGTACAAATAGTAAAAGAAAATTCAGAATCAAACACATGTATAGACACTGGCTTGTTGATTTATAAAAATCACAGTTTTAATGTTCATTGATTTTTTAATTTTTATTAGTTGTTCATACTGGGAACCACGCAGCTTGGATCTTCTCCGGACCATTTGCCATTGCTCTGGCATGTACGTTCTTCTGATCCTCTAAGCTTGTAGCCTTTATCACAAGAAAACTGCACCTTAGCTCCCTGTGTATAGGTGGTACCCATCTTTTCCCCATTATCAGGTGGTGGGATCCATCCACAGGATATCACTGCAAAAAACAATAACAAACACAGCGACACAAAGTTGAACATAAATGTATAAATCTCCCAGATTCCTTAATAGAAATCATACCAGGCTTCAGATCCTCCACCAGAGAAACGTGACTCTGGAAGGAAACTCTGGTAGCATTTCCAATCACGGGGCTACGTCCTACGAGGATGTCATACCTGCATTAAAATATAAAACATTTATGAAGCAATTCCTAAACATTTAGCCATTAGAAAGAAGTGATTCTTACTTTAAGTAATTAGTATAAACAAGACAGTACAGAACCAGCCAGCTGGCCTAAAGCTCTTGATAGTTCTTGAAACTACATAAAAAAGGTACCAAATGTAAACATAGCAAATGAAATCACAGATAGGTGGTTTTACAAATAACACATTCTGTTTTTGTCTAGACTGGAGTCACTTTGTGTTTATTGGTCTGTATGGCCAAATTAGTGTTAAATAACAAACAACAAATAACTTTTTTTAACAGTGACAGTTTTCAAGGGATTACTCTTTTTTTATGGACTTATGTTATATTTTTATAAGTACTTCATATTTTACCTGGAATAGTTAACTTTCCTATTGTCTTTATTCAATATAAAGTTTTAGAATCTTATTTAATCAAGGATAACAGCTAGTATGAGTGGCTAAGACCAAAGTGGTTTCTGTACTCCAGTTTAGAAACATTTGCAGTGTTTTAAGTTGACAGAGTTTTACAAACCTTTCAAACTGTGTCTTGTTAGCATTTGGTATTTATTACAAGATATTGAATAATAAATAACAACCAAAATTAATAACACACAAAAGGGGCTTTTGTTTTGGCCCCTCTGAAAGCATGTCTTACTGGTTTCTTGCAGGTTTTACATCGTTGAGATTTTTTTATCTTCTGAAATCCAGCATGAAAATGAGATTCTACCTCTATCCATTTTTAAAATAGACATTATTTTTTTTCTATGTGATTTGGTCCACGCTTATTTAGGTGTATTATTCGCTCAGAGAGGAATTTCAAAACAACTTGTGGTCATTATGTGAAAAATACCAAATGTAAAATACATTAAAATAATTTTAGTTGGGCTATGGAGGATTTTCCTAACCAAAATGGGCCCCACATTAAAATTTGCCCAGGGCCCACTGCAACCTGTCTCTGCTGTTGTGTTTTAAACAGAATGCCAGCTTGTTTCTCCTTCCTACCTACAGAACTGAGATCCCTCTCCGGAGCATATTTCAGCTGCCTGATTGTTCAGTGGATCATCCGGATTTTCAGGAACAGTAAATACTGGAAGAAAACTTGGATCATGTCTTGGAGCAAAGTAGTAGGTGTTCAGAAGATATTCTGAATCATATGTAAACAAAGCAGAGTTGTTCTGTATCGCCCCTGGAGAGAGAAAAAAAAAAAACTTCATTAAAAGTTAAATGCAATAAACTCCCAGTCACTTAACTTAGGGGGTGAAATCATATGGATTGACACAGGATGAAATCTAACAGAAACACTGCAGACATCTTTTTAATTATTGCTTTTTCATGGTGTTTAGGTTCTAGTAATTTAAGTTATGTAATTTCATATATTGGACAAAATAAAACATATAAATGGTGATTTCTTACAGCTCGCCCCAAAGTTGAACAGCTCTTCTGCATCACTGTGGTTCTGAAATAGCTTTCCGTTGGGTAGGGCTAGGTCATCATTAGGGTCACCATTCATCTTTCCCAACAATCCAAGAGTGGAGCCTTTAAATTCCTCTGGCAGGAGCACTGTGGTGGTCATAGTTTCTCCCCTATGTCGCACTTCCACCCCAGCTCCAGATGGAAACATTACAGTGACATTTATAGAGGTGGGAGAAAACACGAACACGCCTGCAAAATATTTGTTAAGAAGACAGAGAAAACAGCAAATGCTGTGCAAAACTGAAATGTTTTTTGGTTTCAAATAAGCGGTCAATTAAATAAAAGAAAAAGATTGTTAGTGATGGTGCCTTTGAAGAGAAAAATGATGGTAATACAGAATTCAAGGGTCCAAAACTAAATTATTCTCTTTTTTTACAATAAAACCTTTGATCAAATCAGTGGAATCTCACCTTGTAAATCCATCCAGGTCTGCTCCGCGAAGGAGAGGATTTGCTGATTACGCAGCACTTCAAGGCCATCCTTTCTGATATCAAGCCGCACCTCAATGATGTCTGATGACCCTTCTCTCATAGCTACAGACGTCAGCCTTGTTGCCTTGATCGTCGCTCCTGAATCTAGTGATATCAAAAAAGATAAAAACAAACAGATGTTTCTTTGCTTTCCTTACTTTATGATTTACTCTGCATTGTTGGCAAAAGCTTCATATCTCACCCTTCACAGGCTCGGTTCTGCCTTGGACTGTCAGCTGTTTCTCCTCTGATGTGACCAAAGTGTATTCCCCTTTGCCATTGAACGAGTAGCTGACACCATCAAAGGTTATAAAGTGTGGATCGCCAAACACTATAGCTGATATTTAACCAAAACGTAAGCATAAATACATTGGAATCATCCCACAAAGGAGCCAAAACAAAATGTACCTGAGCTTGGCGACTGGTAGCGCCTGCAGTCACTGGAGGGCCGGTGTTTAAAGTAGTAGTGGCAGTTGTCAGACCAAAGGCAGCAGTAATAGAAGCTGAGAACGTCATAAACCCAGTGGGATTGGCCGGGGATCCGAGGAGGTTTTTTAAATGGAGGTGACCCCCAGTCATGAGCCCGGTCTGGAGTACTACCCCCTATCGAGTCTGCTGTGAGCACCTGAGCGCCTGTGCTGTCATAGCAACACTGCTGTCCTGCAGCATATTTAGGACTGGGGAAATAAAACCCCAGGTAGGGAAAGCTTAGGGTTAGGGTTAGGTAAGTAGGTAAATACTCACTGAGAACCAGAAACCAAAGCATCCATGAGCAGAACATGCTCAGATATATGTCGCATTTACTGGGACTCACCTGGCTTGTATCGCTCTTACACAGTGAACACTCCCAGGATGATATGTGCACACGCTCCCTTTCTCTATATCACAGCCGTAATCAGTCTGAGGAATGCAGAGGAGATCTAGAGTTAATGACCAAACAGGGATTGAATTTATTCTATATTTCAACAATCACCTGAAGCTCAAAGCTTTTAACCAAAGAGGTTTTGTTATTTCGCTTGGTAAACTACATAAGAAAAGAAATGACTGAGTTTTATGGTTTTATAACAACAGAAATAATTTTATGGTTTTAAACCCTGTAGTCTACATGTTACATCAGACAGCCTGTTGCTTGTATAGGGATCATAAATTCTGTAATTTGATGGGTGCATTTTCTTTACTTTGAACTGGTTGCTATCATAAACAGATCAACTAATTACAGATTCATCTTGACCATAAATTTAAATTCCAACACTTGGATGAATTCACCAGCTCTTTGAACCAGTTTAAAAAAACTCACAATCTGCTCTTGTTGTACCCTTATTTTGTTCAGGTAATATTTAATGTTGCTACCAGTGAATGTACCCTTATCCGAACATCTCATCTTCACCTACATGAAACCTCCCTGTGTCTGCTCTTGCTTGAGCCAGAGTGCATGGGCAGTCGATGACCTCAGTGAGGAAGTTTGGCAGCTCACTTTCCAGTTGATCCCAGGCTAAACACTTATCCAGAGCCCACCCTGATGAGTTTTGTCTGAAACTTTCCTCTAGATGCCAGGCCAGAGCATGATCCTCACTCCATGCAGCTTGGACATTCCTGAATAAAACACATTAAAGTGCAGAACTTACACTAGAGGTCATGGATAATTGTCTTTGACTTCTGAATTGCAAATGTGAAAAAAATTAACTTGATTCTTGAAGCAGTTTTATTGGAGTATCTGAACTTACCAACTGCCATCAGGGTAGCTGCTTGAGCTGACACGAACAGCACCCAGCTCCCAATTTGAGAAGCCATCCGGGGCTATTTTGGGCAAAAAGCTAAAGGAGCCACTGTTGGGATGATCTTTGGCAAGGGAATAAAGAAAGTGCCACTCACCCTGCCAGTACTCAGAGTATGGCTCTCCTGTAGAAAACAGTTTCTAATTTAAGTCTTTTCTTAATTTCAATGAACATGTTAAAGATAGAAAAAAAAAATAATATAAGAGCAAGATGGATTGAATACAATTTAAAGCTCTGTAATCCTTTAAGTGAATGAAAATCTTTCTCACCTGTCTCTCTATATCCCCAGAGCTCTAGGTTAACTTTTTCTGCATTGACTAAAGATGTATTCCACGTCATCTTTAAATCCCCTCCAACGTTAGGGGTTCCATAGTACTGCCACTTTGTTGAGTTCACTAAAATAGCTTTAAATCGAGAATCCAACTTGCCGATGTGAACTGCAGCAGCACATACAGATCGGTCAAAACAAACAAACTTTTAACAGGTAAAGTTTTTATTTAAAATGTTTTGCATTGAGCTGAAGTACCTGAAAGCCAAGATCCTGCTCTGTTGAAGGTGGTACCATTATCTGAGGAGATATGCAAGGAAACCCATCCAGTTTGGTATAACAGTGGGGAAATGCAATGGCCCCTTCCATCTTCATCCACGTACCCTACTGTGTTAGTTTTACTATCAAACCTGCCGATCGGAAAGGAATGATTAGTTTTTTTTTTTGTTTTTTTTTTAATCCAACATTTAAATGAAAATAATTGGGGACAGAAAAATATCCTACCTACAAACAATGTGAGAGCTCTTGTTGAAAGTTGCATCAAGGACAACCAAGTCTGTCCCACCCATTATGGTCCCAGAGTACGGAGAAGTATTTACACAGAACTCTTTGTAGTCAGAGCAGCAGGACCCAAGAGACCCACATGTCGGGTGGCAGGAGCAGGAGACCATTTTCTTCCCACAATTCTCTTCACATGTCTCTCCTTTCCAAAAGAAAAAAGAAAATCTGAGATACATGGCAAATTCACTGTGTTTTACAACTAGCCAGTCAGACTGGCTTTGCAGGGTGCTACGTATAAAAAAAAAGTACATTTTAAACTTAAGTATCAAAGTGGTTTCCATTATTAGAGCTGGAATGTTTTTGGGTGCACAGATTTATAAGACTGCATAGAGTCTGGTCTCTGTGCTAAAAGCATCAAGATTGCACAGGTCCGGACTTTGAACCGCTGACTGGACAAATAACTAATCTAAAACATGATGTGTTCACTAAATGTTAAAGTTTTCTGCCAACAAACATTTGATTGATTATCCAATATTTACCTCCCCAAAATATTGATGTTTAATCTTTAAACCTGATAATTGTAAATCTGTGTAATGACAGCGCACAAAATTCAATTATTCTAACAAATGCTGTAAACTATAAGATGACCTATAACATTGATGGAAGGTTATGTTTTTTATATTGTGTTCTACCTTTTCATTACATTTTTTTTTCTTATAGACAGAATTCAAATCTATAAAAGCGAAGTGATTAGAACCCATGTACTGTATTTATAGAACCATTATTTATCCTGGACTTGCTGCTATTGCACTTCTGGTTAGACCTAAACTGCATTTTGTTGCCTTGTATCTGTACCTGTGCAATGACAATAAAGTTCAATCTAATCTAATGTAAATACAACAAAATTTATTTTTCTATTTACTTTTTTTATTTCTTTAGATTAGTTAATTTCCCTTTTCTTGTCATAATCTTCAAGTCATTTTGTATGTGATTTTCGGTGCAGGATAATCAGTTTAATCAGCTTTTGTAGGTATTGCAGAACAGGAGTTGGTACCATAACTGGCCCCTGACCCAAGCATGTTCAAAGCTCGGTTCATCAGATTTTTTTTTATTGAAATGTAGAACAAAGGCGTTTAGAAAATGCCTTTTCACCGTATCTGTAGTATCTCTCCAAACATCTTTTACCACCTGCCTTCTTTCCTTTTTTAATCCACATAGGCATTTTTCTTTTACATACATAGATATGTAAAAATGCATCAACATACATAAACCGGATGATGAATAAAGTGCAACTTGCCTAAAATTATATTATGCTTTTTTATGCATACTAAGCACCCAACCATGTAGCCATATTCATTAATCACTCTCATATACATCAAAATGCAAAACTAGTTGTTAACGTTTGGTTAAGTGTCTTGCCAAGAGGCACACTAACAAGAGAAAGTTGAAATGCAATCCACAACTACTTTATCCATAGGGCCACAGTTGCCTCAACCAAAGTGAACCTCAAGTAGTGAAAGATTCCCTGAGCTGTATTCTGATTTCCCAGGTGCAAAAAAATGGTCAAACTTTCATTTAGAGGTAAGTCTTTCTTTTTTTAATTCATGAAAGCTAAAAGTGTAATAGATATCTAAATCTATTCAGGAAACAACTTTAAGGCATCTTGTAATAAGTATTTACATTTTTTTTCTTCCTATGATAACCTAAATTAGAATCAAATAATCTCATCACAAAACTTGAAAGAACTGAATTAAAGACATAATCCTTAACGATACCCATAATGTAGAGGTTACTTGCCTGTTGTTCTGCAGATAAATGAAAGCAGGAAGATAAATATTGCAGTTCTTGATCTTCTCATCCTGACAGAGTTCGATTTTCAGCTCCTCTTTCTACTCTTACAGTATTTGTACCATGCTGTTGCTTCTAAACCTTGGACCTCTGATTACCTATATTTATGCAAACTCCTGTTAATCACTAACTATGAATGATCAGAGCAAAATATTCAGCTCCATGCTCAAGTGTAATTTTGACCTTCTCCTGTTTTGATAAACTCTAAACCTGTAAAATGTAAGATAAGCGTTTTGTGTTAGATATGATAATGAAATATGCTGACGTATGCAGAGGAATTTATCTGAAACCAAGAGTAATAAACACTGATAAACTAATATCTGATTGTATGAGCATCAACATTTACTACCACAGTAGTACTTTCAGTATTTTGTGAAATTTATGGCTTGAAACAAGTCGAGTTTTTTTAAGAGATGTATGTGAGAAATGCATTGAAATCTATATCAGTCTTGAATTAGTTAAAAGATGAAATACACTACCTTAACACATGCTGCACTGAAATGACAGCAAGGTATAGTAAAATGTGGCCATATTTCAGTATTGAATTTCATTCCAACACATACTCAAACATTTTTCATATATATTATAGCCCAAACAGGAACCTTATTGCTTGACTGACTTCAGTAAATCCGGATTTAGTCAGGTATCAAAGTAAAGAGGCCACATTGATAATGTAGCAGCCTGTGTCAGTAGCTGTTTTTCCATTAGAAATCTGCACAAATCTATGTTGAAATTCTGACAATTTTTAAAATGCTAATTTCCGCAATTAAGGAATTGCTAAAAAAAATGAAATACAGTTGAAATTGCATGTGAATAAGTTTGTTTACATGATAAATCTTGAACATCAACATGGCAGTAGATGTAATTATTTGTGTGAAATACATCCATATTTCAGTCACAGCTCATTAGTAGTCTCCTTATGAATCTAAATATGCCATCCCAATGATGTCACCATCCTCCAACTTCTTCCAGTCTACTTCTGATTTTATTGTACAAAGTAATCAGAACCTCAAGGTCCATTTGCTTATCACGTGACATGTGTGATGTGAAAGAAGTGTTTCCATTGCAGTTTTGTGAAATGATAGAACGCCCCCCAATCAAAAAACTTGTTGTTTTTTTTTCTTGATTGCAGTATTTCCATTTAACACATTTATTTTCATAGTTAAATTTTGCATAATTTAATGGTTAATGGAAACACACCTAATGTGACCTTTAACCACTTGGAGTACCTATGTGTTTGTGGGAGAAAGTGTGTATGTCTTGTACATGGCCTGGTGAGCATATGTGTGGAAATAAGTGCATTTATGATGAGTAAGTATACTTAAGTGGCAGGTTGTCACTTGGATGTGTGCATTTCTAATTGAAGTGAGGATGGTAAAATAAGGACCCCTGGTATTTAAGAGTACTAAGGGTAGATATACCAGATTCTGTAATGCTGCAGTCCCAGGCAACAAGACACAAAGCATTATCCAGGACAGCAATGCACCCTGCTCAGAAGTAAGTTACTAGCAAGGCACAGGATCAGCAGTCAGCAGACAAAGGAGACACGGAGCAAGACACAGGACAGCAAAGCACCCTCACTCAGCAACAGAATCTATCCCATCTGTGAGCCTTCACCTCTAGTCCACTGAGCCCCAGTTACCACGGCTCAGCTAAAAAAGATGCTCTTTGCTTAACTCTTGATAATAATGTTGTTAAAGAATCTAAGCTTTTAACCAGCTCAGTGGTTAGTTTAACTGTGGTTATGGATCAAGAAAAAAAGATTTAGTTTATTTCAGGAAGAATCATAATTTCATTTGCAGGCAGTCCTTCCCTCTCTATGACAGAGGAAGAGTTTTCAACTGTGCATGGTCTTCCACTGTCAATTTGAATCACATGGTATGAGTAAATATTTCTAAGAGGTGAAGCTTTCCAATTATATTTTTTGAGTGTGGGGAGGGCTAAGTGTTTCTAATTTCTACTTTCTAATCCATAAAAAAGATGCGTCTTTATTGCAAATAATTAAATAATTTTTATAACCTTCACATTATAATGAAAATATATACTTTTTCATACATCAATACTAGTCCAGTTTTTAAGTTTTCTTGTTTCAAATAATCAATGCTCAAAAGCCTGTTTCAAGTAATATAACAAAGGTGAGAAATTTGGAGAAAAAATAGATTTTCAGCCCCAGATTGGCAGAGCATAAATTTGGGGTGAAGAGATGCAAAGGTTGCCTCTTTTGCATCTACAAAGTCTGTTGTTGAAAGTGTCCAAACTTCCCAAAGTGTGTCTAATCCTAACCTTGTATCTCCTAGCATGGTATAAAGCATTTGCCATAGTGGTGTAAATCAAGGTACAACTGGATTATAAGCATTACAAACTTCTTCTAATGACTCCTTGTCTGATCATTCAGAGGATGAGTCTAGGTTAAACAGACCTGTCTCATTGCAATGTTGACATTAATGTTTGGTTTTGATCGGACGTTTTGCAGCTGTTTTTGAGGAGCTGGATGTGATAGTTAAGTGCAAAAAAAGTTAAATTTTAACAGTGATGAGCAGGTTTTGTTGTGTAAGAACTTGAAAAGAGTCCTGACCTCCTACCAGGTCACTAATGAAGCCAAACGCTCTTGCTTTATGTAAAAGAAATGGAAACATCTGATGTTGTTAAGGTCCTCACTTCATGCTTTAGGTGCAGTTAGAGGGTGATAAGTGGGACAGATAACGATAGGATCAGAGAAGATAAGAGTCAGAGAATTCATATTTATGGTTTTGGCACAAGACATTTAAGGATTTGTTCTTCCAGTACAACTTTATGCATAATCAGCAAATGCTCAGCAGAGGGAGCTGCTACACGTGGAATCATCACAGTAAGCAGAGGGCCTAAATAGACCAAGAGTTATTTATTGTATTTCCGCTGTAATGGTTTTCTAAACGTCAATATTCTAAGAATACATGTTTCAAAAGGTTATAACATTAAGGCGTGGCATGGTTAATTCATCTAGTGTTTAATAGATGCATATCGTAAAAGCAGCCTTTGAATAGCTTATATAGTTTGTCCTGTCCAAAAAAGACCAGGCTTATCCATGAGTTGCTCTATCTGTTGTAAAACTATCAGTGACATATGATGAACAACATTAGATTACTGTAAAAAAAAAATGTCATAAAGGTGAAAAGCAAAAAATCTGTGTGGATAAAATCATGGTATATTTCACACATAACATGGCTGTTTATTGGGTAGTTGTATCTCTGTGGCTTCCAAGATCATCATCATCAACGACATCATTCCAGCAAAGCTTCATTTTCATCTGGATTTAGCTTTTGACGATTCCTAGAAAACAGAAGAATCTAAATGAGTTTTTAAATGAGCTTTTGTGTTTAGTTTAAAAGGTATGGATAGATGAACGCTACACTCACCACCATCAGGTGACCATTCTTTGCTCGGTAGACCATGGACTCCTGACCACTTTTGAAGTCAACAAACCCCTCCCTGCCAGGCTGGATATCAAATCTAACACTAAACACAAAAGGAAACCACAAAAATGAGGATTCCTTACAAGCACAAAGGAAAGTAATGTGATCAATATTTGTTACCTTCCCTGGACCACTTTAATAGAGCTCTGCTTGTCTGCAATAATACTGAGTTTAGTCAGAGCCTCGTAGAGGTAGTCACACTGCAGAACCAGATCTCCCTGAAACAATAAATATCATTAAGGCTCTTTATTACAGTAATTACCTTATCATTGGCTGATGATTATCTAAAATTGCAAAACAATTATTAACTACCTTTTGTTTGATATCCTCACATGTAACATGAAGAATGAGGAAGTTGTCACTCAGGTTGCTCACAGAAACTCCTAGAAAAGAGATAACTCAGTCTTTGACTCTTTTTATGACTCATCTTTAAATTTTACGTCTGTAATCTCATAGAGTTAAGTTTACAAAACTCTAACCTGAAGCATTTATTCACAGTACAAAAAATAAGAAACAACTTTCTTTCTTTTTAGCAATGAGTAACCCAACTCTAAATGTACGCTAAAAATGTAATTAAAGCATTTTTTATTCAAATTGTATATTTTAGGTTGGTCATAATGTTTAGAGTCTTTGAATTTCAATAAATAACTTATTTCATCTGTAGTATAAACAAGTCATGCCACATTAACCCTTAACCAGTGTCAACTGAACTGGAAAATAATGTAAGGTTATTAAAAAATTTTTTGGAGTGGCATCTTCACCAAGTCTATAAGATAAAAAGTATCTATAGCCATCATAAATAAATTTGAATATTTTTTGAAAAGATCATTTTTATCAGTAAATCGAGTGAAACATGTCATACAGATGAATTATGCACTGATTGATGATTCTTGATCATTTTTTTTCCATTTTAATTGTTTTCCACTCAGAGCTGATAGAAAAACACTACTTTTAACCTTTTATTGAAAGTATATTTATGTTTTTGAAAGGTTGAATTTACAAAATGTACTTTTAACCTCACAAAGGAACCTGACTGCAATTCATACTCATATCATTATATTTGACAGTATATGTTACATTGCTGCATTTTTTTCTCTTCTACAAACATATATTACATTTTCTAAACACTGTTGGAACTTTATCTTGGATTATGTGTTTTGGTCAGATAGGACTAAAGTTGAGCTTTTTTGGTCACAGACTTATCCAGGTTAGAATGACTTCAAACAATTTATGGATACATAGAAAATATCCTCATGCCTCCTGCTACATACAGTGGAGGATCCGTGAGGCTGTGGCCCTGTTTCTTTTTTTAAAGGCCCTTGTAAAAGTATTAAGATATTTCTATTGCCAAATGAATTCACCATGCTCAATAAAATGCTAAAATTACTGTTTTGCAATAATATATCTTTAGCAAGGGTGAGGGAGTGAAGAAGGAAGTGCATGAATATCTGCCTACACAAAATAGTAAACATCAAGCATTTGTTTAGGGCTCTTCATGGAAAAAAAAATGCATCACTTGGAACCTTTCAGAGAGGTGTAATCAATCCGCTGCTTGATCTTTGTCTCCTCAACCAGGTAGGCAGCCTCCTGGGTGAAGATGAGCTGCCGGAGATGAGGCCTGAAGCCATTTCTGTCATACTTCACCACTGGCACGCTGTACTGTGAGAGAAGCACGAACGGTTTAGAAAAAATAAATTAAAAAGAAAGAGGTGGCGTAAACTCTTTGACTTTGGTTTACCTTGATGTGCTCATGCTGAATGATCTGAAGGACCTTGAGGTTTATGTCTTCTAAAGCTTGATGAAAGGTTTTTAAAAAAGAGGGTCCAATCATTAAAAGGAACACAGGCTTCTGTTTTTTAATAAAAAAATATCAGTGGTGTAATCTAAACTTTAATTCTAGCATTTACTATAAAGAATAAGTAAAAATAAGTATAACACTAATAATTACCTGAGTTGTGTCACAACAATAATGACTATATGCTTCCTAACTGAGAAATAGGGCAAAAGCATTTATTGTCTGTAGCATTATTTCACATTATAAGGGTTTCACCATAAACCTTCTTATATTTCATAAAGCAATGCATAGATATAAGATGTAATTTTGTTTTGTCCTGTTTCAATACAAGTAAAGCCTTTGCACAGCATGATACCACCATGCTTTACATTAAGCATGTTAAAGCTGATGAACAGTGCAGGGCTGTTTTTTTTTGGCATGTTATTTGTAATTTAAAGATCTTAAGATGCACAAATACTTTTGCAAATCAGTTTAATTAATTGTATCCTTTACATGCACTTAAAATAAATTGCTATAAAAGCAATCCTACCAATCCTGGTGTCCACAAAGGGTCTGGATACACTGAATGGGTAGTTTTCTTTTTTCCCTTTGAACATGGAGCTTGTTTGGGCTTTTAGGAGCAGCTAGAGAAGGACAAATATGGAGACATAACTTTAAGACTTCTTAACTGAGATTCATAAAAAACATCTGAAAAACACCTTTGAGGATGTGAAAGCTTAAAAGGATCAAATCTATCTCACACTTCACTGTAAAAATAGTTTTTTGCATGTCTACTATGCAACTTTTGCGCCACAAGGTTTTACAAATACTGAGGATGACACAGTTTCCTCTCTTGCTAAACAAATGATGGCTTCTTTAATGTAATAAAATAACACAAACCCTGCGGACAGAAACATTTTTAATGTGATGGAATGTTCTGCATATTTTGGACTGGAGTAAGGAGAATTCTACCTGCGCCTTCCTTTGGGGTGAGATTTCTCGGACATACTGCCTCACAAGACAGCGAATGTAGATGTTCTGCAAGAGCTGTGAGACCTACAGAACAGAATCACATGTAATTTCTAACACTTAGAAACATATAACCATTGTCAAAATGTTCTTCAGCAACTAAAGTAGCTTGAAAAATGCAATGATCACCTCCTTTAATATGGGTGGCGGTGTGAGCCAAGAGTCCATCTCCAGGACTGTTTTGGGAAGGTTTTCCTTCAGACGGGTGAGGTAGTTTTGCCTCACATAGGCCAGGTATTCACTGTTGTCATTGCAGGCTGGTTGACTTCTGGTCATGAAACCTTTAATGAATCTAACAGAAATCAAACAAAAAGACAACTTACAGCATTGTACAATATTCTGCACTTTATCACCTTCTTACAGAGATCGTCTATATCTTCTGATCACCGCAACATACTTCTTGATGACCTTGACTGCCCAAGCTCTTCTCTCACGCTCCTTTCTCGCCATTAAACTTCTCCAGCAGTTCTCAATCTTCGTGGCTGTTTGGAAGAGTCAGTACAGCATGAAATTATCTAAAATCAAGACCTAAAAATTAAACTGTAGTCTTGATTGCCAGCCATAAATCTCTGACTTTAATAACAAACTGACTTATACTGACTTAGCATTACTCACCAGCCTCCTTCTGTTTCAGGTAGTCTTCTTTCACTCTCCAGCCTTTATATTTGGCCTGAATCCTTGTTGCTATGGTAAAAGACATTTACCTTCAAGGTTTAGAGCCCCTATGTATATCACCCCTCCCACTAAATAAAATGTACTATGCTGTTAAAGATAAACGTATTCTATCATTTTTCTATTTTTTTATTTGACTTTTGAAGGTGCTGAAACTAGGCTGTTTCTTACCCAGCTGGTTCTTGCAGACCTGGAAAGCATCTTCTGTTGCAAACAAAGTTTTGGGATGGCGAATGAAAATCTTTGTCCTTGATGTGGAAAACAACCATTTAGGTAAATCATTACAAAAATTCATTTTTTTTTTCTTACAGAAATTTTGGGAACCCACAGTTCACATCTACAAACCTGCCCAATTTGTACTCATCAGTTTTGTATCCCAGGTGTTTAATAAGGCATCGAACGCCTTCTGCTGGGGTGCCTTTCCAGTTAGGCCAGGTGTCTGGGCACAGAGCTTTATACCTAAGTGCAGAAGAAGAGAATTTGCAGCAGTAGCTTTGGTATCAAGGGTCAACTTTACAAGAGAAGATCATTAAATGAGGATGCTGTTCTGTCACCTCTGAAGAAAGATCTCATATTTGCGTCGATACGCAAAGCCAGCCCGCCTGACCCTCAGGTGCTCCATGAGCCCCAGATATTTCACCTGATGTCTCACCAGAACATCATCAAAGATTGCTGCAGAACACATCAAAAGATCAACATTCTTCCTCCATTTGGCAAGCCTCCCACCACTCAAATTGACTCTTTTCTTTTTGTTTATTAGAGCTCTTTCACTTCAGTCTTTACAGATACAAGCTCCCACCTGGTTGCTTGGCTTCATTGGGTTTGATGCAACGCACATACCAAGGCTCTTTGGACATTAGGATCTCAGTCAGACCAGCCAAGCTGTTCTTAAACTGGGTCACCACCTGGAAATACAAACAAAACAAAACAGAAATCAAAGAAAAAACTGTTTTAACCTCTTCTGGATTAAAATCAGAGAAACATTAAGCATTATCTGAGTATCTTCTCACAGTTTCAGGTCTCTTTTTGCTGTCAGGCTCAGAGAAGGGAAAGCAGTGTCTGATGATGGCATTTTTGGATTGCTGCATGACCTTATGGGGAATAGAAAAATGTTAAAGCATCATTGTGGGGTACAAATGGAGTCGAGAGGCTAATAAAAATAGTTCATCCACACACTGTTTTTTTTTTTTTTTTTTTTTTTGTAGCTATAACTTTAATTCTTTCATTTAATATAATTATTTCTTCATAATGCTTCGATTGGGAGAAAAAAAAAAGAAAAGAAGGCACTTTTTGAAAGTTTGCATGTTTTTATTCTTTTGATTAATGGAATAAGAAATATCAACTACATTTTTATGCTCTTCAAAATTTACTGAAATATTTGTTTGTTTTTTTCTGCAGAATTTATATATTCATCAGCCCACATAGTTTAAGTAGTAATTGTTATGCTCATTAACACAAGGCAAAATGGAAATACATTGAGCTCGCCACAAGATGAGTGAGTTTTTGCTATGGTCACAAAAGAATAACAAAATAAAAAACTTCTGCCAAATGTAAATTCAGTTCCTGTAAAAATCCCAATCTTAGGTGTAAAGGCCCCTCTGAAGGGATATTTCCATCTGTTCAAAAAGATCTTGGGCTTTTTCCTCTCTACCAAGATGAGCTAATTTTTGCAAAATTTTGTGTTTTTAGATCTGAAAAAAAAAAAGTACTGAACTGTAAAACTGTAGTGTGGGATGGTGGTGCCATTGTGGTTTAGTGATTGGTTTGGGTTTGAATTTTAACACTGACTAGACAGGGTGGAAGGCCCATAAGGTGGAAAATCTGTTTTAAGATTTTTAAGAGCGACTTCATCCTAGGATAAAAATGGGTTGTAGCAAAATGTGAAACTAATAATTAGCTAACAATAAGCTTTTGGAAAAGGCAGTTGTTGATTGAGCGATAGCAATGGTGACCAGACTAATGTGCTTAAGTGTTGGGTTCAAAACATAACATTTATTATTTAGTAAAGCTTTTTATCTGCACTTAATTCATTCCAAAGCTTGTAGATTTTAATGTAGACTTGTTCATGTGTATTTTCATGGAGGTGATTCAGAAAAAAGCATTTTCTATTTGGGGCTTTTCTATATAAATCAAATGCAGCATCATCCAAATAAATAAAAGCTTATATTCTAAACTCATGTTTTCCTATTTTGCTTCAATAAACACTGTTGTGATTTCACTGTCAAACACTGTTTAGTGTTAAAAACAATTAAAACCTATTTCTGTCCATGGAATCACAACTTCACTAAACATAAGAGACCCAGAAAAATTTACCTCTTTTCCACTTCGATACAACAAATCATTGTTTTTGTCCAAGAATCCTGAAATTTTAGAAAAGAAAATAGATTAAACCTATGCATTACCTTAAATACCTCTTTTATAAAAGCAATGAAACAGTTTCTTGTGAAAGCTGGTATGCTAGCTGAAGCCCTTAAAATGACAATTAAATTTAACAAATTGTGCTATGCAAAAGTATTTAAGTTCTCTAGATTTTAACATCTATATGAATACGAAAATATTCAAGGTGAGTAAACAGGGTGTAAATTCTTTATTATTTACCAACAACACAGTATGTAACCTCTCCAGCATAGTGTAGGAGGCGGAAGTCTCCTCTTTCTAGGGTTTTCCTTGTACTTTTGTTTGCAAGTTTGTGTCTGTTTGAGGAGGGGAATCAGTTGAAGTTATTAAAATATCTGACAGTGGTTGATGTTTAATTGCAGAAGGGTGGGTTTTCCAAAGTAAGGGACAAAATCTTACGTGACAAAGTGCGGATGACCACCCATCTTTTCCTCCATCTTCTCCAGAAAGGTGAGGTCGGTGGCCTCCCCAGGACGCAAACATTCCTCATCCTATCAGGATAAACATTTTTATCAAGACGCATGTGTACTTTACTCTCAAAATATATTACGTTCTTTATGAAGGACTCAAACTTATTTAAATATTTACCAACAACGAGATGATTCCTCTGAATTTCTCCTCCACAAGATCACAGATGATTTTGTTGTTAAAATATGGCACCGGCTCCCACTGTGCCCAAACATTGGGAATAATTACAGCAACTTATGTTATGTTTAATCTAAGGTCCATCGTTAAGTTCTATGTTCTACGTATACGGACAAAAAAAAAAGCATTATTACCTCTATCCCTTCCAGTTCATACTCCTCCTGCTCGGATTTGAGTGTCAGCTGGATAAAGAGCTGTTGTAGCTTCTCGTTGCAGTAGTTGATGCAGAACTGTTCAAAGCTGGAAAGAGTATAAAACTATTATGACTCATGGAACGTTTTGCATTAAGATGATTAAATGTGCAGGAACAAACCTGTTCACGCTGAAAACTTCAAACCCGTAGATGTCCAGTAGACCGATCACTGTTTTCCTGGAGGGATCCTGCATATAGATACAGATTTGTAGCAAGAGGGTAGGTTATATGTTGTCTAAAAAAAAAAAATTATAACCCTTTAAATGTTTCACATTCTTAATCCAAACAACCAAACTATAAATTCATTTTTGTTTGTTTTTTGTGTCTTTTGATTGATCATAAGAAAGGTTAAAAGAATTGTGCAGAGGAGGAAAGAGTAAAATCTTTATTCATATTTTTTAACAAATAAAACCTAGAAAGCATATGTGATAGTAAATGACTCTGCTTGTGTGTTTTTTAATTCCAGTTTACAAGCAAGTGTTTAGCTAAAGCATCAGAGGATTGTTGGTGAGTATTAGTGAACATTATGAAGATTAAATGACATAGCTGAGAGTAAAGTTGTGGAGAATCTTAAAACAGGGTCAGGTTTGAAAAGCTTTGAAACAGGGAGCTTCTCAATTCATCAAAAGACATCCCGCAAAGCTACTAACGCAGGGTTGTTACTTATACGAGAGCAATAATGATGAAAAGCAGCCAAAAAGCCCACGGTTACTCTGGTGGAGCTAAAACTAAGTTGAGGTGGGAGAATGTCTGAAAAGAACATCTTCTTTACCAAACACTCCAAAAATCAAAAATAAAAGCTGATGCAACAGAACCTTTGATGTATAAACAAATGTGGAGAAAGGATTTATTGTCATAATGATGATAACTGTAACATTGTGTTTACTTTGTAAGTCGCTTTGGATAAATGCTTCTGCTAAATGCATAAACAAACAATGTTAGAGCTGGCAAAAACTAACACTGCACATCACCTACACCATCAGCATGGTGACACATGGTAGTGGCAGCATCATGCTGTGGTAATGTATTTCTTTACCAGGGGAACTATGCGGTACTCTCTGGTACTCTAAACCTAAGCACAGTGAATACTGTGGATGTGATGTGGCAAAATGTGAAAAACTTCAGCCGGTATAAATTGTTTTGCAAGGCAAAGCATTTTGCAAAAAGCATATTTCATTCCTTTCTATTAAATGTAAGATTTAGTTTTTCTTTTTTTTTTTCTGCATAACATGCAAGCATACAAAACAACTGCTGACCTGGTTAGCCAGTGATTCGTTGATCTTGTTGACCAGCCAGTTGAAGGTTCGGCCATAGGTGGCTTTGGCAAGAGCATCTCTGGCATATACTGCATGTTCCACAGAGAGGGGGCTGAGCACCTTTAGTAGCAAAATAATGTGAATGTTTAACTGCAAATAAACATCAACAATTGGTCAGATGCATTCAAAAGTCACCTCTTCTGTTTTGGCTTCTATCTTTCTGTGGGTTAAGCCCTGCTGTAGCACCTGATTAGGAATCCCCAACAACTGCAAAAAGGACATACAAAAAAAAACTCACTCTCTAATAAGAGTACACATAAGAAATCGGCTTTACAAAGACAAAATGTTTACTTTTGACACCCAGTGCATCTCCTGGTTGTTTTTGATTGCGGCGTATCCTCGGGCATCTGCTTCAAACTTAAGATTCCCCAAATGCAGCACGCTGGCAATAATCCCAAACAGGTGCTGCATTATGCAAGATAGAAAAATTCTGTTAAATAAATATAGATGCATATTTAAACCTAATGATAAGTTGGATCCCCTCACCTCCATGTCAATCTCGCTGAANTTCCAATCACTTTTATCATTGATGGAGCTAACTTTGGCACAATCCCCCTAGAGAATGAAAAACATGAAACTCTCAATAAAAAAAAGGTTTTGCAGCATGAGAAATCTGAAAGATGAAATCCCTCTAACCTGCACCAGATAACGGTAGTTCTTGCAGTTTCTCTCCAACCCAAGCCAGCGCAGTAGATCCTCCTCTCCTCCTTCAACCAGCTGGTAGAAGATGTGGAAGTTTCTCTCACCATGGTTCTGATGCACCACACGGGACTTTTCCAGTAAGTAACTAAGGATGTGACCACCAACAGCTCCACCCTGAGGAAAAGGTCATCTTAAAAATATAATCGGTATCTTATGTGTGAAGATTAAGCTTATTAGGCTGTAGTTGTTGTTTTTTTATTTTGGGTAAATGTTCCAGATCTACCCGATGGTCAAATTGGATGTCCATGTATTTCCCAAAGCGACTTGAGTTGTCGTTTTTCAAGGTTTTGGCATTTCCAAAAGCCTGCAGGTTTTACAACAAAAATAAAGTCAATCTTGATTTGAAATCATATGTTTAGCTAAAACAAGGCATGACATAATCCATCACTGACTTCAAGCACTGGATTGGAGAGAAGCAGCCTGTCCCGGACATTGTTCAGAAGTCTGGTGCTTGGACAGCTGACAGCGTAAAACTGAAGAATTTTTTTAGAGGCCTCTGTCTTTCCAGCTCCGCTCTCACCTGAGATCAGGATGAAGTGGTTGTTGTACTCGGACAGCATGGTCCGGAAAACATTGTCTGCAAGAGCAAAACTAAAAATACAGAAACAGGTTAAGGGATAGAAAAAAAAGAGTGATTTTCCTTTGATGAAAACTGTGCTTTATCTATTTGCTCTATCTACTTTATTTAATTCAATTCAAAAATACTTTATTAATCTCCAGTAACTTAAATGTTATTTTTTTATTTATGCTCACTGTTCATCATAATGTTCTTTACTTTATGAAGAATTCTTCTTTGTGAAATTATCTCCAGAGGTTCTAGAGGAGCTAGAAGCTCTAACAGAACAGATCAGACCTTCTTAATTAGCTTGTCTAGCTTTTTAAAGTCAGTAACTCTAATACTGTTACCTCAGCAGAGGATGGAAGAAGAGATCACACTCAACAGATTTATAGAAGACATAAAGCATCTTGTTGCAAACACTAGGACCAAAGCTTCTTTAGGAAGTACAATCTGCTCTGTCCCTTCTTGAAGACACATTGGCCATGATGATTGATGGGTTAAATTTCTTCTTCCTCTCTTCTTTCCTTGCTCCTGCTTAGCATCCCCAGCACCACCTTTTCAACTAATTTGCAGAAGTAGTTGAACTATTATTTAAACTTTACAGATGTTACAAAGCTGCTCCTGGATGTAAACTAAACCAACCTGCTGTGGTTACGCATCATAAGCAGTACTCGAGTTGAGGCTGGATAGGGGGGTTGGCATCCACCTTCTTAAAAAAATCTCTTAAATCATACCCCTTCTTTAATGACCACCCCCCCCCATACCATCCCCTGTGAAATTTTATTACAGAATGTGTAAAATTTCGACTATAACAGTAATGGCAATAGTATTACCCTTTTAACATTCGGCTAGTAGCCTGAGCAAAAAAAATCAAATCAAAGAAGTGGCCTACCATGACTATCAAGCTGATCCCAGTGGGAAATTTGTCCTCTGCATTTGTTCCCAACTATGTAGGGGCAGAAATAGCCAAGCCAGTCCAGGGACTGACCGAAGTTCTACTTCCCACAATGGGGAAATTTGTTCTCTGCATTTTGACCAATCTCGTTGGAGAGCAGTAGGCTGCCATTGTGTGGCGCCCGGGGAGCAATCAGGGGTTAAGTGTTTTGCTCAGGAACCCAGAGTGGAGGCAGTGGGGATCGAACCAGATACATGCAACCTTCTCAAAGCACAAGCACACTGCTATCCACTTGGCCAACCCTCCCCCATAAAGTGAATGACAGGCACACCTGACATCTAACAACCATACCATGCATATTGCTTTAGGTTAATACACTATATTAATGTTGCTATGTATGCTTCCAAAAAAAAATAATAATAAATCCACCATCCCCCTTCTTTCTTTTTACAACTAGACTACTGATAGCAAGTATCCAAAAAGGACAAAAATATGAAAATCCCTCCAATTTCACAGCATTAGACAACAGAGGCAAAAAAAATGTATGTAAAACAAACCCTCTTTTAAAAATGGAGGAATTCAAGTCAAAATAGCAGAGCTACTCCAACGTGCAACAACCTTAAGCAGCGCAATCATATCCTATTCTGTTGTCTAATCAAATTTAGAATTGACCAATTTAGGTCCTTAATTCAAATGTTTTTGTTCACTGGATATTTTGCAACTCCTCACACAATTTCCACATCACAATATAGACATTTCAATACCAAACCATCTATTGATTAAATTTGTTTATTATTGTTTTGATTTATGTTTCTTCATTTAAACAAATGCTACCCAAGTTTGAGGTACAGGCGTAGAGATGGGTGCAGATTCTGAAGTTTGAATAGAGAAGCTAAGGCCAAGTCTTTTTTCTAAGACTACATTAAAATTCACTATTTGGACAAAATGTATCTTCTATGAATTGTAACCAGGGTTTGCTTTGCATATGGACCACATGGGCTGTTTCCCTTGTTAGTAATAGAAAGAACTTTCTTCTTTTTTTTTTTTCTTGTGTGTTTAGCTTTTTTTGTCACTTAAATACATTTGCTTTCAATGTAATAATAGAGAGATCAGTTAGCATGCATTTTGTGGGGCTTCACTGCATTTGCTGCATCCTGTTGTGGGATCTCTGAATTTATTTCATTTTATGCCATGAGGGAATACAAAGTAGGGATTAAATATTCTATTTAACATTTTAACAAATTATTCAGTATTTAACCTCCACAAATACAGTGCATTGAGAAATACGCCATTTATTAGGGAAGTATGAGCTTTTCAAAATTGAAAGAGAAAGAAATTCTCTGTTTTGTTTTCAATAATTGGAAAAACAAAGAATAAAAAGCTGTTCTGGCCAAATGAGATACAGTAAAACTTACTGGCCAATGCAAACTATGTGTGTTTGCCACCCTCAACTTGGGGAAAAATCGCGGTTGCAGAATCATGCAGTGGGGATTATTTTCCTTCAGTTTATTACAACTGTTGAGGTTATTGGTATAGAGGCTATAAAATAGTTGAGACTATGGTGGGCATTTATCCTCCAAGAGGACAAAAAACATTAAAAAGGAACAGACATGATTTTATCTCTATATGAAAAATACTAGTAGAAACATATTTTTAGAGGATTTGCAGCTGTAAGAACAGCAAAAGGTTTTTTTTTTCTGCTCCACGTAAAATATAAATGCATGCCAAAACTTTCAAATTGCCATATAAAACTAAAAAATGAACCTTTTCTGAGCACTTTATAACCTTTCACTATTTTAAGCATATTTATTGCACAAAATCTTGATCAAACTTATTTCAGTTTTAGATAATGTAGACAGGTTCAGGGCGTGGGAAAACTTCTGCAATTATTTTATACATTAATTTCCTTCCTCTTTGTATTCATTCAAAATAACTGAGGTTGTGAAAACTATTCTTTAAAAATTTAAATATGATCAATGCTTTTCACAGATGTTTATGAATCGTTATACTCATTTAAAACCTGTTTATAATATATAGAATAAATAAAGAATTTACATGTGAGGCGGCAGCTCAAAGAAGTTAACTCCCATATAGGTATCCATTTGCTTCTTGCTGTAGATGTCCAAGTCTTTGTACGGGTTGACCGACACCAGAAGCGTCCCAATGTAGGTCTTTGAAAAGAGACAAGGACATGAAGTCATGCTCTGCAGCTCTTGCACATTCAGTGATAATAAAACAAGTTTTCCTAATGATAACAAAATCCTCCACCAGCATTATATTTAGTTTTGTCCTTTACCAACAGCAATAAGTTTAATTAATCACTTGTCATCATGACCCAGTGGTTGGTAGTGACCTTTTTAGTGCTCGCTCTGCAAATTAAAAGAATCAGAGCTGCTATCTCAGCAACACAAGGTGACAGATTCAGCAGAAGGTAAAATGCCACATTAGTACAGCAGGGTTAAAGGCTGGGAGCAGTGAGGTTTCATTAGACTAAAGAGAATGAGCTGCACAGGAAACACCCACATAAATCAGATTTTCATTGAAGCGTTTCCTCAGGTTGTCCAGAAAGGCACTCTCACTAGTGTAGGCATCCAGGAGAACAAAATCCTGGATGCCCACGCGATCCCGGGCCGTCAGGGAGGCCTCCATGTTCCTTAGGATCCGGTTACACCGCTCCTCTAGACTCTGTGTGGAAACATCAACAATATCCCAAGGAAACAAAAGAATTAGCTACGTGTGGAAATAATGTCATTTTTCAGACAAGTCAAACTCACACTGTCAACAGTAGACGTGGTGGAGGAAAGGTCGATGGTCACCCTTTTGCTTCTCCATGGCCACACTTTCTACTTTAACAATGCCCCCAAGTAACATTATAGCTGACTTTTTTCATTTCTTGTTTAAAGTATGATCCTTTTATTTTTATAATTTTTCTAGTTTTAGCTTTTAAAGCCACTAAAGACTACATAATGGACTTATATAATTCTTTGCTAATCGCTGAGCGTAGATTTAACATTGTTGTTAATGTAAACATTTATTTATTTATTTATTTATTTATTTATCTATTTATTTTCGTTTATGGAATACCTTTAATATTTTACTAAAATTAAGCTTAATGCTGTTGGGATAAGAAAGTGACTCTTTTTTCTAATTACTTGGCCAAAAGTTATGGTCCAACTAGGACAAGTTATTAACTTACTGTAAGCTAACATTAGCCTTTAACCTGCAAAGAAGTTAGCACTGTCATTACCCGATCCGTACCGGAAGCACGATCCGTACTATCAGCTCATTTGCGCCTGTGCAAACAGAATAACTTCCGGTGGCAATATTTCCTTTTTCTTACTTTTTTATTCTTTTGTATTTTTTAGAGGCATGGGTTTCTTTTTGTATATCTTTGTATTTTCGTCAATATTGCATTTTCTAAAAATAATAAAACAGAAATACATAAAAAAGTTCAATAGCCTTGTGATAGTTACTTTGACTGCTCTGAGCATGCGCAAATATACGTCACACAGCGTATATATTTAAATTTGTTTAAATATTTTATTTACTCTGTACTTAACTATGCACTCCAGCAGTACTGATCCCACAATGGATTCATTTGCTACCTTTCGTGACCTACAGTTTTTCATAATATATTCCCAGACTGCTCTTAGCATGTCTGATGATGACGTCAAGCAATACAATGGATTGAATTTAAAAAGCATCCATTTCTTCCAGAAAAGTCTTCAATATTGTCTTTACGATGTAGTTTAGTATTCTTTAATTATTTAAGGATATAAATAAAGTTTTTTCAGTACCGTAATTACATTATTTTTTGGCGACCCGGAAGTTATTCTGTTCGCGCAGGTGCAAATGAGCTGATGGTACGGATCGTACTACCGGTACGGATCGGGTAGCGACAAGCACCAAGTAGTGCTACTGTAGCTACGTTTAAAATCCAGGCTATCACAAAAAATGTAAATAAAGATTTACAATGACACCATATTCAGCTCTACTATAAGTGCCCTTACAATTTTTTGTATTACCTTATTATTTTGATAATTAATTAAACAAAGAAGCTTGAAAAAAGGATGCACCTTTTGAGCCTCATTAGCATGTGGGCAACCAGTTTTAATTGTCACCATTAATCTTTTAATCCACTATGCAAAAGAACTGCTGATAAGGCTTTTATCTGTAACTTAGACTAAAGAAGTCTCTATGAGAGGTTAAACATTTTAACCGAGGAAAAACTCTTCAAGAAAACTTACCCAGCTCATAATTAATTCTAGAGTTTGGAGTTATAATTTGCAATTAAGTAAATTTTCTAGCCTACATTTTTTTTTTTTTATAAATATGGCAAAAAGTTCAAATAGCAAAAAAAGATAAAGGTCTTACTTATTTTTTGCTGAGTTTCTTACATGTTTGTGGACCCAGTCTTTTCATTCAAAACTAGAGTCAAAATAAGAAGCAAACATTCAGAGACTGTAAGGCTAAGGTACAAAATGATTTATAGTACTACATGGAGCAAAATACAGTGGTGATTTCCGGTGATTTTCTTTTATTAAAACATGGGCAAACCAAATTTGACTATGTAAGCGAGGTGTAAATGTGATAAATAAGCAAAACTTTGGAAAACAGGTCTACATTATCAGGGTTAATTAAAAGCCTAACTTCACTTGGCTTTTAACATACATTTTTTGTATTACTTTAAACAGAATTATATCCATAATTATTTGGGTTTTTTATATTATAGATGTGTTTCTGCACTACAGTGAATAACCGTCAAACCTAATAAAATATATATAAGTATGTTCCTTCAGTGTTTGGTCGGATGCAGCCTTTTTTTTTATTTGTCAATCTTTCTCTCTGTTCTTATAGTTTGTGCACCATGGAAGACATTTAGACAAATGCCAAAATTTCTGATAAAATATATCTCCCATTGGGCGCCTCACTGGCTGCATATTTTTGCTTATATCTGTGGATTCCAGTTAGTGTCCTTGGCCACATCCGCTTTTCTCAAATAGAATCTAAATCCAGCCATCTCTATCTTATCTGTCCCTGTGTTTTCTACACACCCATTAATGTTTTTTTAAGTGTAAATACCAAAATAGACAACTGAGACTGGAAAACAGGTTTTATCTTAAGACCAGAATAGGTTCCGACTACACCTACAGCAACAATAGACAGTTTTAAAGCACAGTTAAGAGATACTAGAGTTGACTATTATATGAATAAACTATATACCTAGTTACTTAAAGTAAAGCTTAATTCTGCCAGCTTATAGTTAGTGATTCATTGCACTTTAATTATGGCAGTATGAAAGCCCTTTGGTATCATGTTTCAGTAGTTTGCTTTTTATGAAAGCTGAGCTGACCTGCTGTTAAATCACAGTAACTGAGACTAAAAAACATTCTTGAGGAAAATACACTTTTGAATTGGTGAAAAAGCAACAATTACTGATATAATTAGCCCCTCAGGTTTAGAAAAGTAGATGCAAACCAGTCAAAAATATTTGGTTAGAAGTCGAATTAAAAAATAACCTACTCTCTGGGTCCTTGATGCCTGTCTGTGCCCCTCTTCTGTCCTTCCAAACTCAACTTGAACATCTGCTTTTATTAAGGGAACACAGGAAACACTGATGGATCACAGTCTCAGTTTCCCCTAATAGGAAGTCATAAATTATGTAGTGACATTTAAAAAGGAAGTGTATCCACTGTTGAATATGCATTTATCTTTTTTCGCTTTGTTTTTGTGAATAGACAAAATTAATAACACAGACATGCGTGTATGCTTTTTTTTAACCATGCAAAACTTAGAAACTGGGATGTAGGAATACAGATTGCAGTCTTTAAAGAAAAGGCAATTTTTCATTTCGATCTTGAAAACTTTATTTTTTTTCACCCTTTTCCAATGTGATGGTCAATAAATCAAAACAATTTGCATTATTTCATCCCCAAATTATTTTTTTTTAGTTTTGCTAGATTTTTTTTTTTACAATAAAACAGTTTTCAGCACAGTTTATATTCCATCTTGATCTTTTATTTATATCTGCCATGACAACAGATTTTTTCAACAGAAAAGTGATTAAATGACTCGAGTATAAAACATCTACCAGCAGGAAACTAACTGTATTTATTTTGGTTCCAGGAGGAAACAGACTGCCATCCCTTCATTGCTTTATGCTTCCCTTCAAATATGTTAGTTTTTTTTTAACTTGGAATTGTATTAAAATCCAAAACAGAAGCCTTTTTTAGGGTTTTTTTTTTTTGTGTGTGTGTTTATTTTCTTCCAGTATGTTTAATTTTAGAGTTTTGCTTCACTTGCCTTATTGACTCTTTATGTGTGTTTGTTGTTTTCTAGGTGTCTTGACATCTCGATTACTCTGCTTGCTTTCTTTCTCCCTGCATTTATAAACAGCTATCTTGTTTTTAGGCCATGTTGGTCTGATTGATGGATGGATGGATGGATGGATGGATGGATGGATGGATGGATGGATGGATGGATGGATG